CATAACCCAAAAAATTGAAGGTTCTTCAAATGGTCGCTACTTCAACTTAGGATTAATTCAACTAGAAGTAACTCAAATTTGATACTAACTATTCACAATACATATATAAATATAGATTGTAATATACATATTTTATTTAATTTAAATATATTTGTATATAAATTATATCACAAAAAAAAAATCAAAGTATATTAAAATATTTGTTGTGATGAAATTTTCTTTCATCACATCAAATTGAGCATTAATCTTGTTTAAATAAAATGCAAAATATAGTCAAATGATAATATTGTGTCCCAAGATGTATAAAACTCAATTTATTTTCAAAAAATTCAATTCAAGAGGTGATGAATAATGATGATGTTTGTTTGAGAAAAATTTATCAATCAATCATTTCATCTTGATTTGCTTTGAATTGTAAATCTATTTTGATTAAAAAAAGGTTTTTAAAATCTAAAAACATGAGTAATTTAATCATGATTTGATATGATATAAGATGATATACAAGATGACATTCTTGCCTTTTGGAATTTAAAAAACTAGAGAAATTTTATGTTTGAAGATGATGGATTTTTTAATAAAGATCTATTAAAAAAATTGTGATATGTAATGTAAATTGTGATATGTAACAATGATGTAACATTAAATAATCAATAGCTTAATGATGAAAAAGATTAAGACTTGCTTGGAAGATTAAAGATTTGTTGTTAAGCATACGTTCTGCAAAATACATGCATGCATGCATGAAGGTTTTTGAACTAATAGTTAAGCAAAAATATGATTTCTGATTATCAAATAAACACATTTTGCGAAACAACTAACAACTAATCTAAATCGATTCAATGAGTTCAGGATTAAATCAACACATTTCTTGAATAATTTATTTAAAAATTCATTTGATTAAATTTTTCAATTTAAATATAAGAGTTAATATTTCATTTGTAAAACTATGATAAATCAATGCAAAAGATGTATTGATGAGTCAATATATTGATAACAACAAAAAATTATATGAAAATGATTTGCTATATGATAATTATGCTTTATGATGTCAATATTATAATCTTCACAATTTAAGATATGAATAAAATTTTGAATGGTGCTTGTTTGCATTGTAATAGTTATTAAAAATTTTGATTTACTGAAAAAAATGATTCAATTTTGATAAAAATTGATTAATCTTGTTGAATTGAAGGTACTGAATTCATCAAAATTCAAATGATTGATGGTATTGTAAGCACATTTGAATGTTTTGATATCTTTTGGCTGATAGGTAAAAAATCTTATTGAAGTTGAATAATGAACAATAGTCAATATTTGACTAAAGTTATTTTGATCATCATTAAATCAAGCTAGTTGTGATTAAGCTATAAGAATTTATTTAGAAAAATAATTAAAGTTGCGGTTGAACATCAATCATTTGTTATTTTTCAAAAATTTAGATTTCAAAATCATGAATATTTCTCAAGATGTGATCAAAATGATCAAGTATTAATTTTGTGTCAAGTTGAGAATCTAGAAGTTTAAAGATTTTCAATCACATGTCAATAACTCAACATAAAGAGAGTTATACTCTAGAAGGTTTAGTTGATATGATTGATGTCATGTTGTCATGTTATTTTTTTTACAAACTATTAATATCAACCAAGATAAATATTAGAAAAAACAAATGACATTGTAAATATCATTGGATCACATCATGTTAATGTTGAAGTAGTATAAGTAGAAATATATATATATATATATATATATATATATATCTTTAAAAAATTGGAAAATACCTTTGTGTGAAACTTGTTTTATCATGAAAATTTTATCCTAATGCTTAAATTTGGTTTTTAAGAGTTGATTTGAGTGATAAATGAAAAGATTATTCATCCATGATATTTTGTTAAGAAGCCATATTTGTTGAGGTCAACTCCGATTAAGGAGTAACCTCATGTTCTAGCTATTTATAGCCAGGTGTGTCTTTGGGTATAAATATACCCCCAAGTCCAAGGTTTTTATCAGAATCAGTATTCATTGGTTAGTAAACCTTCTAGCATGTTTCAACCGTGGACGTAGACTTTGAGGATGAACCACGTTATATAAATGTCTCGTATGATTTTCATGTGATTCTTACTTGTTTTTAGGTTTTACGTCAAGAATATTCAATCCAAATGAATTTAATAGTAACTCACATATTCTTTTAGTAGCACAAGAGATACAATCAAAATAGGTTTCCATCAACACATCCAAACAATATTCATCATGTTCACATATATAACAGAAATTCATATGATATTTGTCTTTAAATCATCATTAGACATACCAAATCACAACGCCTTATGTATGGATCAATGTGTCTTGAACGAGCCATATAATACTTCAACCATGAAAATAAATCTAAACTCTTCAACCTTGGGGAGCTCCACAAGGCCATTTTGTAGGAGTTGGGAGATGCATGCAATGAGACATGAATACGAATGGTATTCCCAAGTGCATGTATGTAGGTAAGTAAAATAATCATGGATCAATCCACTTTTTTCTAGATTTTACTGCACATAAGGAAAAATTTCTACTAGCGCGCTATATAATAGAGGAACGAATAACTATAATTCACTTAGATTTAATCAGCCCTCACTCTACTGTAGGCAGTTCTTTTATTGGTCAATACAAGATAGTCATAGATGCAATAGGAATTGTAGAGTGTTTCACCCATCGAATAGTAACGTTGAAGGCTAATTAACCCTAAGTGAATGATAACTAGCTACTCCCTACGGAAATGATATTATATAACATTCACTCTCATGTGACAACAAACCGTCTGCCGGACAAATATCAAACCACGTCCATGTTGTATAATATGGGAAGCAAAGATTAACATGTTAAGGAATTTACGAAAGGCTTCAACCTACTTTTCGGAGATGGAAATAATTGCAGTTTGTAGAGAGCAGGTAAGACGGTTGGTGGCACAACAATCATGAGCACCTCTCAACATGATATGAATCCTCCGTAGCAGGATTGCATAGCCTTTTTCCATCATTTTCTCATGTACAGGACGGCACCAGGCTCGTCGTAGAAAAACTGGTAGGGGTGTGGGTACTTACGTCCTTGGCTCCCTTTCCACATCCATTGTGCTCAAGTACACATCACCCAAGTACGATGTGCACATCGTTCGCACGGTAGTTCGGAAAGTGATTTATTTACTTTGTGTACTGGGAACCATATTTCCAACAGTGTCACAGTATTCCCACATAATCTCTTCGTCTCCAACAGATTTCCGGATCCCAAGAATCCTACTTCCAGAAAAATTAATTGACCCAATTAAGTGTCAGGTAATGACATGAACTCGTCAAGCAGATCGCCATTGATCTGAGATCGACACAGCACTACGATGCGATGTTGCCACCTAGCAATCTTCTGACAACTCAGGTACGGAGTCTTAATGAGTATCACATCTACGCATGAAGTAAATTTCTCCCTCGACAACCCCACACACAATGGCAGTCCCTCCTTTCTTGCATATACAGAGGGACAGTGCGGCAAATACGGATGGGATGGCATCGATGTTCCCTAAAAAGCAAAAGAATGTGGTAGCTCTGTACTAAAACCTCGCTGTGACCACAAACGAATCACTGCAAGTTCTAGAGTCTAGAACATTTGACCTTGGAAATCCGATGCGCAAACTGCGACTCAGAGAGAAAACGAACTTGAGCCACAGAACACGATGACCTCAAGATCTCAAAAAATAATGAAGCGGCCAAAAGGTCGGTCGACCATCATTCGTCTCCCGTAACAACATTCAACAGTACTGCGTCGCATTCAATGCCATGCAGCCAAGATGATGTTCTGCAACCTGTCTCCTTTGCCCGCGGCAGCCCTTTTCCAGACAGCTCCTTGCGCAAGAATCCCTCTGACACCCAAACCTACTCAAGCCTAACTATGCGGTTGAATCTAGAACTCACCAATGGTTCTCCCTAATGCGGGATGCATAGGCAGAAACTGCAACATCAAAGATTCCTGTCACAAACACATCGTTGGCTCCCCGAGGGCAAAATCCTCGTCATTAGAAAAAATTCTGATGACGAGGATTCTTCCATCTACCGAAATCTCTCTGTAAACCCCCACTGAAAAACTGTATTGACACAATTGTTTTGATCATCTGCTTATTCATATTTTTAATCAGCTTCTTACATAGTTGAAGGACTCGGAGTGTGCTCGTGCTTGTGCAGACAATCAGAAATAAACTTTGGATCACTTAAGGTCAATCTAGTGATCTTCTTCAGGTCGTGCACGTTCCGACGTCTGTCAGGAGTCAGATGCCGGTCCCACTTGATCTCGAGTGTTTGAGGGAATGAGGGCCTATGGGGGCCTAGCTCCGTCCTACCCCATTGGTTGCATCCCTCTACGACTTGATGGGCTGTTCCCGTCCTTTTGGCTCTATTACTCGGTTTTCGTGATTTAGGCGTTTAGGGAAATACATATGGGGGAGACAAAGGAGCCAGTCCGTACGTCTCTGCCTTTGAGCTACAACTGGAGTACTGCAAGAGTAACATCACAAATGCATACCTGTGGTCCGCAGGGAGCGAGAGTCCTCCCGAGGCGGGAGGATTGGACATGAGATTTGTAGGTCGAGTATGTGGAGCAGCAGATTGTGCAAGTTCATGATGATGTTAAAAATGGAAATCGTTACGTTCTATCACTCAAGCAAGAAGAAACCTTACTCGAATCTATTCGATGATTCTTCCTAAAAGCGCGTCTTGAATCTCAACTTCTCGGGACCTTTCATCCAGACAACGAGGGAAACATGCCCATCATGGCTTCACCTCCAAGGCACAGTACGATTATTCATGCTCCCGCTGCACTGGTCCCAGCTAAGAATGCACTCCCAAGACTAAGCAAGTATGATTGTAAACAGCAAGTTTGGCTGGGTCCGCCTACACATGCAGACCTGGATAGAAAGAGTAACAGGTAAGATTGTGAAGGTACAATTCCGCTATAACCCCTGCGCAGCTCACGCACGTACACTGCTGTTAGTCGGACACGAAGTGTGACCGCATGCTTTGAGGCTAATTTGGAAAGCACTTTCCAAGAGTTGGCGAGAATGTCTTCCTAAGGCGACCATGTCCCTTCTTCGCACCTCGACACAGCAGACAGTTGTAGTGCAAGCAAAGGAGAAGCCAACAGGTGCTTTCATATTCCAGGAAAGTAAAAGTGGACGTCACGGAAGGATGATGCATGAGGAAGCCTGAGCACAACAGCTTTCAGCAGCTCCAGCTTGTTCGAAGTGGGCATCCGTCAATCTTATCTACATTGTGATGGCAGGTGGAGTTCCCTGCAGCCCCATGCTCTATTTTTCGCCAGACGGAGCAAGGTACACCGCGAGCCCTGATCCCGTCGCGAAGCTGCCTGTCTCCGAAAAGGACATAACTACCCGGGAATGGTTTCAGCCGATGGTACGCGTTCATTAAACAGCACTTGCAGTAGTAGGAAGGAAAATGTTTGTTTAATGGGAGAGACCTCCAATTTGACAAGCTTCATTCTTGTAATGCCAGCTGTGGTGATGTGAGTAAACACCCCACGATTACCTGTGTTCACTTTGATGTCGAACAGTAAGTGATGAGCTAACATCGAACATTGAACAACAATTCATAACCTCATCACGCCTACGCATGACCTATGGCCGATCTCATGTCTCAGAGGAGTGTCCCAGCAATCCTTCTCTACTCAGTTCACAATGAAGCGGGGTTGGAGCATATCTTCTTAGGTTTGAAACTTGGCTGCAGTTCTCTCGTCATATGGCACTGGGCATAATCCCTGTCCTTTGACTTTCAGGTCAGAAAAGTTCTCAGTCTGGCTTGAAGAGCATAACTTGGAGTGATCTGGTTTTGAAAGCCTACTTAAGTCGGATTGTCAGTGGAAGGCAAAGGTTGAGGTAAGTGTTTCTTTCTAAGCTAAACTATGTTTCTAAGTGATCTACGCCTTTCGGCATAGAAGGAAAACAGTTGAAGAGGAATAGTGCAGTGGACGATTTCGCTTCAACTGTTCAGCTGGAAGAATTTGCATAGTGACATTCTTAGTCAGTCTGTTCCTAATGGCGAGAAGTTTAGACTAGTGAGATGGGTGCATTCACTGCAAAGAAAGCAATCGAATTATGATCAATCGTCTCATTCATCGTAAACATCCCTAAGAAAAATGTGACATGTTGTCGACCTACTCGCCAAGCAGCTGACACGGTCACACGTGATCAGCATGTCCTCATTCCCATGCAGAATCAGGTGTACAATCAAACGCCAGTGACAGACACCACTGCTGCTCGTTCACTACTGCAATGAAAAATTACCGCAAAGCCTTGGAATGCTCATCCACACAAATTGTGGATCTGAACACTAAAGCGAAAGGAGAATTCCTCAACTAACTCTTCGGAGTTTCGGGAGCATCGTGCTCGGCTGGACAGACAGACTATAGAGACGTTGCTCGGCTCGCAGTACTACGCACCGACCTCCATTCCTCCGCAGTTTCTCCCGTTACCATATTATGCAGTTCGAGCAGATTCGGAGAGAAGGTGTTTTCTTGGAGTCTTTAATTGAGTTATTGAATTAGAAGTGAGGCCGAACCTGCGATACACGGGCGTACTATCCCTGCGCCACGGAGGCCAGATCCGAGGGGCTAGGCATTAAGAGACAGGTGGTGCTGTTCACTGCTGTTACACAGATACCGGTAAAGAGACAGGCTGGACGGCCCACTTTCCTGTTTACATCACCAAGGAAAAAGATATGTCTCGCGGTTTTAGCGACGCCCTCGAGGCATGAGGTGTGAGGCGTGGCTGTCGCGTCAAGCCTTCGCCTCCGGGCTCTGATTTGGTGCTGGTGTGCCACAAGTCCTTGTACTACGCATCTTTCTGAGCTCTTTCACCTCGTGCCAGTCATGCAGTTGTGAACATCAATCTCCGGTCACGCCGGCCGAGATTGGAGTTCCATACCCTTCACACCAGTTACGTTGGTATAACTTTTCGACCGTCATCAAAAATCTAGTGATCCCAGCAGATGTGGCTCTTCTAGACAGCTTGACAAGTCGTGGAAGTGATGCTTCGAGATTCCAGGGGGCTTCAAGGGAATCTGCTAGAGAGATCTGTTTCAGGCGAGGGAGACCTTCTGGGAACGAGCCAAAGGGGACGAAAACCATGACCAAGCATCTTTATCCTGTTGTGGCCCATTGGGTTGAGGCAATGTTGGGAACATACTGGGAAGTCTGTTTTACACAAGATTTATGCTGCCTCCCTTTGAGTGAGCGGCAGATCACTTCTGGACGGGATCAACTCTTTGTATCAGTTCGAGGCGGAACGGGAAGAAATGCTGGTGAGATGTTAAAGCGTGAGCACTGGAGAGCATATAGCTGGCTTCTACGCTTCGAAAGTCCGCGTGGTCCCCTCCACAGCTGGCAGGCAGTCAAGACGGGCGATACTCTAGCTGGATTCCTCAATGCCGCTGCTCGGCATTATCAGCTGAAGCTTCTAAACAAGTACAGTCAACCTGGCTGCTGCTTACTTCGGCCTATACAATAGGGAGTTTTCTACTCTGCATGGTAGAGTAACTACACGTTAGATCAGGTTAACATATAAACGGCCTTCAACCCCGCTGTGTCTTACATGGAAAATGCAACTGGTTCTAGGTCACCACACAAGTATTACATATCCCTCAGGTTGCCCTTACTGGTCAAAATTCTGGCAACGCTTGAGCTTCGGATCATAGATCGATTGACCTTCATTGTTCTGTTTCCAATCCATACATAATCGAAAATCCACTGTCAGAATCTGTGGTGAGGAAGACAGGCACCAAGATTCATTACTTGCTACACAGCAAAGCTGCTAAAGGTGAGCTGTAAGGAATGGGGCAATGCCTAGGGGGAAAACAAACCGAAGTAACGAGGGAGTGAGGAGACGACATAGTGGTTATCGAGGGGGATATGATTTTACTGAGCTGCCCCGTCTTCTCACCGTACATGCACGTGAGAGCAGAAAGTCTGATGAGAACTGAGGTACGGTTCATGATAGAGAAAGGGTTTTGTTAGTGCTCCCCGATACCGTGTTATTTACCTGAACTGAGTACGCTCATCGCTTTCTCAATGCAATCAGGAGCTGTACGTTGTGATATGTAGGGCTTGAAAAGATTAGTATCCGCCCGAGTTCACAGAATACATCTTATACAGATCCTCGAACATGTTCCAAATTAAGCCACAAATAAGACTTGACGGACCCACAGATGCGGACAAAAAGTGGCAGTGAGAAACCAGAAAGGTAAAAGGGCCCCCATGAAGTACACGACGTCCTGTATTAACACATTGTTGAAAAGAAGTCAAGGTAGAGAGTTTATCATAGGGCTCTACAAGATAGTCGCAGTGCATCCACATCAAGGAAATCCAAGCCAATCGGTTGAGTCCCTGTCGTCGAATTGGCCCCACGCTGAGGCATGTTTGAGGCCGAGGCGCCAAGACACGCCTAGTCGCGAAAGGAAAACCTAACAGGAAAGGGAACAATCCTAGTTGGCATGAGCGCGTGAAGGCAGGCAGACATATAAGATGGAAAGGAATGCTGTGCACTTTCTTACCATTTCCAAAATCCGGGAACTTTAAAGTCAAAAGTAAGCGTGTCAAAACGAGTCAACCTACCCTATGCTGAGGTCCAGAGCCGAAGAAAAAATGATGGACAGGACCAAAGGAGCAAGCGAACTGACTCGGATCAAAGACTCGGTCTTTACTCAGATTTACATGGTTGGGATACTCCTACAGGTGGGAAGGGGGAGATTCGCTGCTAAGTACGTGTCCTACTGCTACGAAGGATGGCTGGACATCAGCAGGTAATAACTTCCACGGTGGAAAGCGTATGCAAGCCAGGGAGGAAGCCCACTACTCGTCCTAGTCAGAAATTTGACTGGGAAGGAAGGTGGGCTGGCTGGGAATAACTGCAGGCTGCACAAAATCCGCAGAGTGACGAAAGATGGTTGATGAGGCAAGTAGGAGGCTCACGCCTTGCTTGACACAGCCTGTTATTGCAATTACTGTGTGATCCCTGACATTAGTTTGTAAACAGCGCACGACCTGTATTTTAATAAAGCCGGCAGCTCAAAGTGTAATTTTCCAGTGAGAAAAGCTGGTTTGATATCTACCTACACTCTGCATATTGACAATTATCGATAGTAAAGGGCGGCAAGTTCTAACGTTAATCTACGCTCTTACCATCTAAAAAATTGTGGGGAGATGAGAATTTTTTTACACGGCACAATGAATGATGTGATGTTTCTATATATGGCGCCTCTCGCTTCACCAGGGCATGCAAATCCGGGTGTGCGCCTTCGCCATTCCTCGCTGCACGCTCGCTAGAAATTCTCCTTGTGAAACTCGAACCTCGCGGTCGTTTGCTGCGACCACGTCCTCGACAACTCATCCAACTCCTTGGCCAGCCCCGGCGCTCCGCAGTAGAAGACACCTGCGATTGTCATACCACAATCATTCCGCATTGTCAGCTCGAGCCTGGGCTAAGAAACCCCTCCACGCGCAAGCGTGGACTTTGACCTACTCGCTGCATCCAAAACAGATTCCGAGGAATATGGTTGGTACTTCACCTATTCTGGCTTTCTCGTGAGTTCTTGCGAGCCTTTGGAACACCGCTGACCAGTTCGGCCGCGCGAAGTGAGTTCGAGCCTGAACTTCCACACAAATCAGCACAAGGTCGGATTAGATCGGCGACGTGTTGCTACAGGCAGAGCTTTCGTGCTTGACAGCACAGCAAAACATTGATGGCAACAGTGTCCAATGCGAAAAAGGACAACTAAAACCTACCCTCGTGCCGGACAGAATATCGACACCACTCTTGGCGTGGTGGAGGGCCTGGACCATGGTGATGAGAGCCGATCTCGCATCACCTTCTTCGTAAACACTCGTGAGGTAGTTGTGCATTTCGATCACAGCCTTCTGATCGATAGCAGCCACCTCATTCATCACTCCTTTGAACCACTCGAACGAACCCTGTTCGCGAGTCACCCAGTAGAAGTAGGCATTCGTGGTGACACGAATCTTACGTTTCTTTTGCCGGGCAGGACTGTCCGAGGGCTTCTTGGGACTCTGTGTCTCCCACCATCTCCCACCATTCGAGTTGTCCGTGACTCTGTACAGGTCGTGATGCAAACCCCCGGGGTTGTTGTCCTGCGCAACACACCAAGTATTGGACCGGTTCCACTGTGAGCCTCGGCACGCATGGAGTTCGGTGGCACAGTCCAGAGACCTTACTTTCAGCAGTCGCTTCAGACAACATCACCATGCTGTTGAGTTGACTTGAACGAATTGCGGATGACATCACGGGATACGGGACATAATAGAACTTACAGGAGAATTTACAGCGTCGGCGGATTTGATGTCGTTGAGCATGTTCTTCAAAATGCTGATAAACGGGGTGGCACCGATGCCCATTCCTACAAGCAGCAGTACGTCGTACTTGCGGAAGTCCTGAGCCGGTGCTCCGTAGGGTCCATCGATGCATAGCCTAGGGTACTTGCTGTTGATGCTGAAGTCTTCGTTCTGGTTGGCAGCGATGGCATCCTTGAAAAGGTTGTGCATGGCCGTCGTCCAGTCACCCAACTTCCGCATGTGCACGCTGATATATTCATCTCCCGGAGCGGAGGTAATTGAAAAAGGATGCCTAACATAATACGACAACAATCTGACCGATCAATAGACACGCAACGAAATCGCGGGACCCAATCATGCATGCAACTGGAATGCGTGGGAAGAGCAGGCAAATATTCAAGCCGGACGAGAGCTCTCACCATTCAAACCCCGAAATTGATGGACACTGAAGAAATATGTACATCCCGCTCTGATACTTGAATCCAGCCGGTTTCGACATATGTATAGCTAGGACATTTCCGGGATAGATGTTTGCCTGAATTCATTCATGCGATTTGGAGTTAGCGGAGGGTTCAGACATCCGCAATTTTCTTTGATAAAGCCAAAATTAGGCAAAGGCTTAAGTAAGAAAACACGCTCGTCTATAATAAGTCAGGAAATCATTACCTCCACAGTGTTGACTTTGTACGTTGTGGCTCGGAATGTTCGAAGAGTACGTTCTCCGCAATACAGCGTCAGAGGAACCATTATGTACATCCAGGTCTGTTCAAGGCATTTCACCCCCCGGCCACTAATTAGCACCACAAGACATCGAAATTCCCCGAAATAGTAAGAGAATTCTGAGAAAGAGACTCAAATGTTTGGATCGAGAACCCGATGCTCACCGTCTTCTGGCTCCACTTGCTCGTGAGGAAGAGGTAATAACCGTGAACAATCACAAGGACGTATACGACGACAAACAGATGGTGCGAGTACCAGAAGGCATTGAAGCCAGTGAACCTGCGAAACGGCCCCGGCAGCTTCAAAATGGACATGCGACACCAGTACGAGGCCAGGAAGAAGGCAAAACACATAATCACCACCATTATGATTCCCGTAATCACCGTCGGGGTGGCAACTATGTCTCCGTAGGTCGGCACCTTCCCGTTGAAATGCTCGCGGGATATGTACACCATGTACGGATTGTCGCTGTTCGATACCATCTTCGGGAAATCACATGCCAGATGAGTGGTTGCGTGAACTATCACCCCACCCGCAATACCAGCTGCAACAAGCTGCACAATCATGCAGCAACCCAGAGAGAGAGAGAGGTGAGCAAGAAGAAGCGCCGGGCCGCCCAGAACCGATAAATGCACGACGAGGAAATCGAGCACAAACCTTGTGAAATTTGATGTTGTCGTCGAACGGGATGACGGCCCCCATGCACGTGGATCGAAGGTAAGTGATCGTATTTCGGCAGACCGGGAGGAGAATCAGAGCCATATTGAGTTTGAGGGTTTCGGCGGCGCCCTTGGCAACGCAGACGCAGTATCCCATCACTTCGAACGCCTCTCGGTGCCGGTACTGATGGAACTTCCAGCAGAAGAGGCCGAGGCACGCTCCCGCCCATATTAGAAACAGCCAGATGCGGACCCAGTAGTCGTGAAGGTACAGCTTGTACTTCCTGGAGTAGTGCTGCCACCTGCTTCTGCGCCTCGGAGGGCTCAGCTGCTGACTGTGGCCTTCGAAAGTCCCTCCATACTTGTGCACTGTCGGGGCGCGCATTAACTTTTCCAGCTCAGACAACTGCAGCGTCCCATGCACACATAAGCACGTTGTTCAGCGACCGATCAAGAAGGCAATTTTGAGCGGCCGCCCGGGAATCGACGACTGAGAAATAACAATAAACATCGCTCGTTCGTTCGTTCATCTATCTCCGATGATTGGAGTGCAATCCAGCATAAACTAAAGTCTCGAGGCGGTGCGAAGAGAGTGGGCACCTCAATGTAGCCATTGTGGTGGCGATCGAGTTCTTCCATGATGAGTGCAGCGTATTCCTCCGCCTGTTCTGTCAGAATGGACAACTTGTTCGCGGCAGCGCTCAGCAGGATCATCTGTACAAGATTGCGGTAAGGGATGGTGGTTAGGAATTAGCCCGCAGAGTATTGACTCAGCGCAAGGGAACAGGAAAAGGCCAGAAACATGCACTGCGTGCGGGGAACTGCAAGGAATCAGAAGGTTATCCGGGTACAGAAGGTGCGGACCTCCATAACTTCGTTGGGAAATATACGACCATCAAGATCCTTATCACACCTGCAAAAGCCTCCCGTCAGTAAGACACGACACGATCACGGGAGCAAAACTAAGCAAGAGAGGAACATCGAGGTGGTGGAGCTCGTGTCATGGGCACCTACAAGTCGAAAAAGAGTTCCATGCGGGCATCGAAGGTTTTGTTAGTAATCCTCCGCCAGTATTCCTGAAGCTCACTCCTCGATATCACCTCGACCTGATGTTGGACACCTTTCCTTCGAGTGAGGGCATTCAACAGCTCCTCGGCAAACTCCTCCGACCCCTTCATTCCTGTATTGCCGCATTGAATCGGTCGCCGGAGTTAGGCCAGGGGCGAAAGACGAGATCTTGCATGATGGCGCCAATGCACTCGGACAGAAAGAACACTGCTCGAGTTCGCCTCATCATTACACGAAAAAGAATTGTCGGGGCGTAATTTGTGCCCCGAACGTTGGACTTTATTCACGCGCCTAATCAGTGCAAATCGAGAATTGCGAGGCTTCAGAAAGATAACACATCGTTCGCAATCGCAGAGAAGAAAAGCCATACCGACAACTGACCTATACATTCAGCGAAATCCTTTCGAAGGAGGAGATTTTCCGTCTTGGCGGTGAGCTGCTTAAAGCGCTCGTCGACAGCGAGCCACAGAACCTCCTGGTCACTGTCGCCGGTGGCCCTGTGAATGTTCCTGAGACCTTCGAGGGCGTTCTTGGCGCCAGATGCAGTCCTGTCAATTTGGCCCGAGATTGGGCCTGAAAGAGGCCCCGAGATGGGACCTGAGATGGGAATGCCTCCCCTTCTGGACGTCTGCGACGTTCGAGACGACGAGCGAGGAGGAAGATCGCCATCGGTCCTTTCCGGGGAGAAGGCCAGGGGCGTAACTCTAGCTCCAGAACTACCATTCCTCGAGACGCGCTTCGCGTCCGCCGCTTCCCTAGAGTTCATCGAATTTCGTCTTTCTAAGCTATCTACAATAAATGATCTGTCCGCAGCGCTACCGCCGCCGCCAGGCTGCGTTATACTTTTCAATTGTACCGTTCCCGAGCCGTGCTCCACCATGACCTCGACCACTACATGATCGTCCCTATCATCCCTTTCGATCACGAGCCCCGCGTCCCCGTTTCTTCCATCCTCGTTCCTCTCGGCCGCATCCTTGTCCATGGATTCTCTAAGCAGATCCTTCAGCTGCCTACGCGGTGGACTAATAGTCGTGAGATGATGATGCTGTTGTTGTCCACCTGAGTTTCCTCCTCTTGGTGACGGCTGCCCAGGCCCATAGCTGCTGCTGCTGCTGCTCGCTCCTCCGAAGGAACCTGCATTTGCTCCTCCTCCTGCTCTTGATGATAGTTGTTGCTGTCCCAACGGGTCCATCGCCATCCCCATGTTCCCGTTGATTCAGAAGCTCAATCAACCAATCACCCCTCGCTGCGTCCAGTCAGGATTTGCTTCTGCAGACTCCAGCTCTCTCCCTATCTATCATGCGCTAGCTCACTTTCCGCACCAGCGAACGAGGTCTTCTCTGTGTGTCTGTCAGACGGTCAGGTTAGAGGTCCATTGCTGTGCTGCGCTCACTACTTCCTTCCTTTCCTCGCGTGCCCTTCGAGACGGAGCAACCAATGCTGCGGAAGCACAAGCTCCTCGTAGGGACTCACACGCTCGCTCTCTCCCTCTCTCTCTGGCGCAGGGAGCGCATGCACCAAGACCGGAGCATTTCGAGGAGGACGAAGAACTGCTGCTGCTGCTGCTGCTAGCTATAGTCGACTCGGCTCAGTAACTGGCAGAAGGCGAATCAGGACGCAGACTATTCACTACGACAGGCCGACTCTGAGCTGGGCAAACAAACTTTTCCAATGTACAACGACACACTGTCGTTATGAATGAAACAATCGATTGTTTTATGGATCAACCAATCACAATCTAGTGCAATTCCGCCCGCGCGAGATTGTTGCTATCCTCACAGACGCACCAATTTCTTTCGGCAGGACAGAATCTCCCGCGTCCAGCCTGCACTGGAGCAAGCTGCGGCAGTCCGCAAGCAAATGATATTCACAGCTAGTTTCGGGACTAGATCACAACAATTCGACCCCACTCTGTGCGGTCCCTCTTGTGACATGAAGTACAGAGCTAGAGAGCTCGAATCAATCCAGTCCCGCAGATTTTTTAATCAACACTCCACTACCTTGAGCTGCACTCGTTCGTCCCAAGGCAACGACGGCACGTGCGCCCTGTTGATGCTAGAGAGAATGAACCAGCCGAAGTATTTCACAGCCTCAGCTGCTCAGGGTAGAGAGAAAGAGACAGAAGACTATGAAAAACAATGTCGCAGCCCCGGAGCATGGACGAAGCAAGGGGAGAGGGGAGGGTGCTAGAAGAAAGAACGGGGATAGACACAGACCCCACCCACGACAGCAAGTTTTACTTACACAGGAACAAGACAAGCTCGCGTGGAGGTGTGACCTCACACCTCGAGGCAGGAGAGGCCTCGAGGGGACGGGGAAAGAAAGATGGAGAGCAGACCAAACAGGAAAAGCGGAGCGAAGAAAGAAACAGCAGGGAAGAAGCGGAGATCCCCAACAAGAAACTGGACAAACGCCCCGAAAAATAAATGAACACAACGACGAAGAGCTCGAGGGGTCACTCACTCACTCGCTACCCGTATTACTGACTCCCTCGCTGCCAACAGGATGGGGAGGGGAGACGAAAGGGTAAATGACGATAAGGAGAAAGAAGAAGCGAGGTGAACGGAGCGGAGTAATGCTGCTGCTCCCCGTTGAAGAAAAGAGGGCCGATAAATTTCGCAGTCCTACTTCGCCCAACCCAAGCGGCGGCAGCAGCAACAACAGAACTGGGCGGGATGGACTGAACTGAACTGGAGATGAGGCCTCTGGGCTGGACTTGGCCTGATGATCAGACGAGACGATGGAACGGGTGAAAATGACACAAAACGACGAGGGTGACGAGAGACGGGCCTGATTGGATCGATCTCTGACTCCAGGCAGAGGACCGGACAGGACCACGAATAGCAAAGGACGAGGACGGTAGTAGAGTCTGCGGGGCAGTAATGGTCGTGGTAGTAGAGGTAATGGTAATGGTGAACACGAAAGTGATTCAGCCGAAGTTTGGTGGCGATGGTTTTGGGGGAGAGATGGCGGAGGTGAGGAGAGAGCGGAGAAGGAAGTATGGGCTTCGTATGGGGATGGAGAAACGAAGGAAGCGCAGCATTAATGAATGGGCCTCATATGGAGTGGGGATTGTCAGGCCCGTCCGTCCGCCACTCTTTTTCTCTTTCTCGCTCACTCTCTCTCTTCTTTCATCAGTCGGCGACTCGGTGAGTTTGCCCTCCCCTTCCTCTTTTCTGCTCTTCCTTCCACTCTCTCTCTCTCTCTCTCCCTCTCCCCCTCTGTTGATGAGTGTTGTGCTCGACTACAGCTGCAGTGGCCGCTAGATATCACTTATTTTGCACTGCACGAACGAACAAAATCGGCTCCTGCTCCTCAGCCAGCCAGCCAGGGAGCGAGGGAAGCTGATGGAAGGGACAGGGGGAAAGGTTCTCTTGAGTTGTCTCTTGAGGACCTCGCTCAATCTCTCTCTCGAGCGAACCTCACACCTCTCTCCCTCGACTCTGTGCATGGGGCCGTTTGCCCTTATGCTCCCACAGAGTATTTCACTGGCTCCCGGTACAGTGAGCTCCCCTGCTCCTTATGTCGCTCAGAATACACTCGTTACTCGTAGTCCTGCCCTACTCCTCCCGCATCCCCGCCTCGGGTCCCACCAGGGCCTCTTTTGTGTTCCCTTCCGGTGGCCGACTTGACTTAACGAACACACCAAGCCTCAAACTCCGGGGCATATCCGAGAAGGAATGAGTTTCGATTCATGGGCATTAGCGGACTCATTCACTAACAAACTCATTGACAGATTGATTGATTCATGGATTCCACAATCGCGGCAATAAGTTAACGTTTCTTTTCATTCTTTTTCATTTCTTTTCATTTTCTTCACTCTCGTTTCTTTGCTTCCTTTTCTCGAAGCCGGTGATTCGGACTGTTCGGTTTCGTTGATGTGTCACTCCAGCTGGATGTCACATACGTGTCTTACATGGCATGGCTATATTCCTTTCTTTGCCTGTCTGCCTGCTTCTGCATCCTGCCCGCCTGAATCTAAACAGAGTGTCATCTCATGTTCGCCCAGCACCCGGACATCGCCAATGCTCTCCGTCCCCGACCTCTCTCGAGCTCTGGTGCGTCCTCAGCCTTGGGACTGTAGAAAAGCATGTTCCCACCAGAATCTTATATGCAAGAGCTCATCATTGATTCGGCGAACTTGGAGCAAATCTGATTTTGCTTATTCGAAACATCATGACCATAAGAGGTTCTGGTAAGAATAACCCTTCGCCGATTTCCACTCTATTTGGAAGGGAACTATTTACATTTAAAGGGCGTGAAAAAGTCTGAAAGTTCCCAGATATCTATCGTTGTTACACGATCTCGACATGGCTTGACTTGTTCGCGATTGTGTAGAATCCTATCCATTTAATAATACTTCACCTCACAGTAATCTTTGCGTTAGGAAATTTCCCAGCCAGATTCGCTCAAGGGTAATCTTCCACTGATTATCTTAGAATTAGCTTCGCTTGCATTTCAAATATTCTAGGACATCGCTCGTGGTAAGTAATTGCATGGCACTCAGTGCATGGGCAAATTCGTTTTCAGCTTATGACTGCAACAAATTCGGAGTTCATCCAGCTCGGTATTTACAAGCTCGTGGGCACAAGCACATGTTGCGCTGCAGGAGTTCCTGCAGTTTTACCTCTCCTTCCACATTGCACACCGCTGGTACTTTACCCTCCGCTGCCTAAACTTTCCTTCCATCCATGTCCGTCCATCCGTTCTACAGAGGAGCAGTCTCATGTCGCGACTCGCCACTGGTCGACTTACGACCCCCGTCGCTAGACCAGGGAGGCCCTCGCTGGTCAGTTCCTAGGACGCCCTCCGAGGTCTTTACGTTATCCCACTGCAGCCTCCTCGCGGCATCTCTCTAGAGGAGCATATGTCCGTATCTGGGACCACAATGCGATCCGTCGCTAGTATAGGTCGCCAAATTACTGTACAGTACTTGACGTTCAGAGTTCTTATAAATCCATCCGTCTGCCAAGATCAATTGGCCTCTGCCTGGCTGTCGGTCAGGGAGACGCCATTTCCCGAGGAAACGAATAATGGACGCAGTCCTTCGCACTTTGACGTTAGAGGCCTTACTCACCTCACGCTCATTTCGCTCAATTCGCTCCGTCTCCTTCGTAGTGCCAACTGTCAACCTGAAAATTGAAGCTGCAGGATTATGCGTACTTTATGCCATGTCGGTTTCCTAAGCTCCTGCTAATAAGCGTCGCTACTGTACATATCGTCGACGTTATCAACGTGCGTTTAGTGGACTGGAAGGAAGTGGAAAGACGGACGGAGTGACCCCGCGGACTTGACGGATGTGGGACGCTCCTTCCCTAGAAGCCCTACAAGTAGGGCTTCAGCGCAGGTACGGACGGACTCAACGGAAGAACACTAGATCCTCGACGACAACCACGGATGTGGGTGTTGGATCCGTGACTCGGGCGGGAGACGTCACGTCAGCACATGGATTGTCTGGGATGCAACGTGAAGGCAATGAATTAATAACGAGTCGATCCATATGTTAAATGTTGTCTGTCAAGTGTCCATCACTGCACAACTACCCAGCACAACGAAGTTGATGATGATCCTTCCTTCCACCTCCTCGTCCTCGAAAGAGGACGAGGCCAAAAAATTGGCCAATTGGAAATCCTCCTCCATCCACACCGATTCTGCTTCTGTGTCAGTGACGATCCAAGTCAACAACAGCAGTCTGTCTGTCAGTGGTATTCATTCATACAAAGCACACTATCATAAAATGATTTTATGCTGATAAGGATTCATCCTCATTCACTCCGGCTCCAATGCAATCAAGCTGAAACTCGAAACCCTTCTCCCTTTTCTCGTGGATGTCCCTGAGACTTCCAAGCAAAATTAGTCCTAGCATCCTCGGTCAAATGTGTCGTCCTTCTCTGCACAACTGCCACTCGAGACGAAGAAGACGTTTGGTCCATTCGACCCACCCAACCCGAGCCAACCTTTACTTCCATGTGAGTGGTCTACAGGGTCAACAACATCAGTCATACATTCAACCATACCAAACGTCACAGAACATAAGGCATCTCCTTGCAATATTAAAATTTAAAACATACAAACATTTTCCGTGGACTGTAATCATAAAAATGGGGCCAAATGTATAACCAAAAAAGGTTGGGAAGACCTCATCATGCCGCACAAGGATGATGTCTTAAAATTTTCAAACATACAAACACTCCTGCAAACCAGCAAATTGAATTTTTTCTTGAAAACTTTGCCGAAAGATTCATACTTTCTTTATATCATCTGCTTACTTCCCCATTTTTTTCGACTGCCCTTGCCTCTCCTCATCGAGGTCTACGTTCATTATTTTTTCAAGTAGCATCCATGTGTAGGATTAAGGTCAAAATGTATTGGAGTGATCTAATGAAAAAGAGTGAATTGTATGATCCAGAATAAAATTTTATTTCTTTTTTTCCAACAAGACATGTATAGAAAAAGAAGAAAGTAAAAAATTGATGAGAATAATCTTCGTCTTTTATATGCAGTTTAATTACATTTGATCCCTATACTTACCTTGATTTTGGAATGTTTCAATTTATGATTATTTAAAAATTCATGGTTAGGAAATTAATTATAATTCTTTTTAGGTATTTAGAATAGCTAAACCTTGCATTTTAAAAAAATTTAATCAAAATATTTTTATTTATATACTTATATTGTAAAAAAATTCTATAATCACATAGTAATTTAAGAATTGCAAAGAACTAAACTTGACAAAGATATAATCTGAGCTCTGAAGATTAATACACACAAAAAGCTTTGAATGATAGTCTCAAAACTAGTCTTCACTGTTGCTCAAACTAAATAGAGTTATAAAGTTTTAATATTATTTATCATGTTTCCTACTCTTCCAGTATGGCAATTTTTAAATTATATTTCACAACATTAAATTCAACATCAACACTGAAGACTTTTAAATGTTTATTTTTATGATCGTGTATAATTCATTCAATCATTTTTCACTGGTGTAATAATACGATAAAACATTGCATTTTGCAATTGATACGGCGTCAATTATTTTTAATGATATAATTTTATATCTTTTAATGCAAATTTATTAATTTAAATTTTTTTAAATCTTAGATCTAATTTAATATATTTTTAATTTTCAAATTAAATATAATCAAATATTCTTGAAAGTGAAAGTTGTGATGGAATATCACAATTTGACTAACCATAAGCAATTAACCATTCTCAATAGCAATTGATCTATATCTCAATATTATAATTTTTTATTTCACAAAAACTAAGTATCATATGAAATCCATCATTTTATTAGATTAATTTGATAAAATTAATTTAATAAAACCAATAGAAATATTAATTAAATTTCTAAAGATAAAAAAAAATCGTAAACCAAGATTAC